TGAATTCTTATGTACAGCAATATAGCATAAATATAACAAAATTAGAAATCAAGATACATAATACAATTGTAAAGTTACAGATATAAATGAAGAGAACTTTAAGATAAATAACAACAAAGAAAAATGAAAAAATGAGATATGCTAAACAAAATCAAAAGTAATAGAATTACCCGCAGCCATTAAGATATTATAAAGGGACTGTTTATCATATAAAGTTATATAGGGATTTATATACAACATGTTAGAACCACGAGTACGATAGACTTAGTTATGGATCTCTTACACACGCTCACACTCTTAAATATTGCCTTTTATTAATAAACATGTATCAACTACATATATATATAATAATATATATATATATTATAATTCGAAATTCATGCACATTGCTATTTCATCCAAATCATTTTTATATCTTATATTATATACATACATAGATTTTTAAAATTTAAATAATACAAATATTTTCTGAGCACTATATAAGTAACAAGTATTTAAATATATAATATAGTTGCCACAATTTATGACATTTGTATAATTAGCATTCAAAAACCATTTTTAATTTAAATGTAAAATAAAATGTTCATACAATCATACCCATATGGAAGATTGTATTATAGTTCAGATTTCGGGGACGTGTTTTTTTATTTTATTTTTATACTGAGCTTAAAGGTGGCAATATAAAACCGTTTACATTTTACTGTTTTATTTATACTCATAATAGTATTTAATTAAAATGACAATATTATGATACAAAATTAATTATCTTTGATAGGGTATACTTGACCAAACAATTAATTTAAAAATATAGACATCCAATAATATTGACTACAAAATGAAATTTAAAATCCTCCTTTATATTATTAACATAGATTTTTATTTTGTATCCTAAAATACTTTAAATGATTCGATGAAAAAATGTCTCTAAAATCAAAGATTTAACTTAAAGATGACGACGTAAAAATAAAAAATAAAACTCAGGGTTTTAGTCGTCATATAAAACGTTCCTAGAAAAATAAAAACAATTAAAGAAGTGTTCATATCTATTTTAGTAGTGAATAATACAGATAATGATTATAAGTCTTATCTTCGTGTGAAATTTAACTGCTGTTGTTCATTAAGCAATGTGCACATATTCGTAAAGTATTGTCAAAGTAAAGAAATGTATTTGTAGTGAAAAAAATGAGGCGTTTCAGCATTTGTATATATCTAATGAATAAAGTTGTAAAAATAAAAGAAATAAAAAATAGAAAAAAAAAATTTTGTTTGAAAATATAGAGATTGTTTTTGTATTTTTATTATATGATAATAATATTTTAACGTAATTTACACGGTTTTGTATTATACATAATTTTTAAAATATTAAAAGTAATATTATGCTTCGAACGTGTTGTAATAGTAACAAGAATTATTAAGAACATATATTATAGTTAAACGATGTGATAATTTATTTGTTAAAATAGTATTAATAATACATAAAAAACGAGTTTTATATTTTTCAAAATTCATTACGTAATATTTATATTTAATAAAAAACCAGGGGGGTCTTACAATAAGAAAATAACATATTTTAATATCAAATTACTAGTTTGTATAACGTGTAGTATACTAGTATATTAGATATAGTTTTATAAATATTTTATTTTTACTACAAACATTTGTAACATACATTCATATTTATATAAGATTTTAAAAATGTATTAATATTACATTTTTACATGAGATCTTTGTCACTGTTCAATTAAAATGTACGCTAATCTACATTCTACTATGACTATATTGACACTAGCATAATTTATTAAACTTATTATAGTATTTTTCAAAATGATTCCCGGTTTAGAAATATAGCGATTGCTGTTTGTAGCTGCTAAAAAAAATGTTAGTATATTTATTTTTTTTTTAATGTTTGTTCATCTATAATTTTCTATTAATTCCAGTAAATCGCGTACAACATTAAGTTAAAAACAGTTATGTTTTTCCTGTTTTATTAATTTTTTTTTTTTTTTTTTGTTACTGTTTTAAATCCCATTGTTAAGTTTATAAATAAATACATACGATAACATATTAGGTGCGTTCAACATCTTTATTTCATTTTATCCTAATCCGAGTTATATTCAATGGTTCAAAGTACTCGTAATTCGAGTCTTTGAGTGTATATTATGAAACTTAACAACAAACAAACTATGTATTATATTTAATTTTAAGACATTTGAAATCAAAAAAATAAATAAATAGTTTTATGAGTATCATATAATAGGTATTGCATATTTTTAAAATTAACTGAGTTGTTAATTATTAAAAAAGTATTTAGTAGATACCTACAGACTACAGAATAATACGCTATTCATTCTAGTATACATTTTACAAACGTGTACATTAACTATAATATTAAAAATTTAGTTTTACTTAAATATAAATAGGTTCAGGGGTGGAGTGGGAAAAAATTCAGGCCAGGAAAATAAATTTCCTCCAGGCCATTCAACTTTTTCATCTCTGAATAAAAACTTTATTTTATTTGTGTATGTAATGAATTTTGTATTTAAATGTATATAAGTAAATAACAACTATAAACATTTATTGCATAGATACCTATATATTTTATTGATAAAACTGTTAAAAAAAATTTAAATCTAAAATCTAAAATAGGTACCTAACCAAAATGTATTAATCTTAGAATGTTTTTACATACTATATATTAATAATATGATCGGTTTTAAATGATAAATCACTATGATCAGAGATATTTTCAGTAAAGTTTAGGTAAATTTCTTTTGCCATAATATAAATCTAATTTTACACATTGTTTTTAAATTTACATAAATAACGTTTTACTTTTTTTTTCTTTCTTTCAACACCGTCTTTATTTTTCTTATTATCATTCATTTCGAAGAAAACCGGAGAATATTTAATATTGAAATGAATATAATATTTAACAAGCAAAATTTTTTAAAACCTATGAAATATAAATATAGTATAAAAGGTACTTGACCACTAGTCCATCATACTATATTCTGTTAAATAGATACTCTGATCACAAAATATGAGAAAATGTATATTTGACTCGATAGTAACGAGGCGATTAAGTATCATTGAATTGCAGAACTTCGGCAAAAGTTATAAAAATAGATGGTGTGTTGTGTGTTCAATACTAACGTGGATATATCGCATATTATACTATATGTACAGACTACGGTAAATTCATATCGAATAGCCATCACTTATCAGAATTCAAAATATCAAAAATAATATAAAAATGATTATTAATTATAATGTTAATATGATTTCGTTTTCGTGTATAGATAAATAAACTCCTCACATTACTCTATACATTTTCATAATTTTTTTTTCTATCTAGGTATGTATATTTCAGGCCAATCATTTAGCTTCCAGGTCATTGGGAAAAATCCCGGTATCACGGTGGGTCACTCCTCCCCTGAATAGGTTATTAATTTATTATAGTCTAATTTTGTTTACAGATAAAATGTTATAACACGTCTTATAACATTTAATCCAATGAAACATTATTACAGTTTTCGGGATAAGTTGATTTTGTGAAAACGTGTACTTGTATATACGGGTATAAAGAATGTATACAAATATACAATATATAGATTTAGTATATTTTTCATTGAGCGTTAGTAAAGATGAATTGTTGGATACTAAGTGTCAGTGTATTCAGGGCAGATTATTATTAAATAATTATTTTTATGTATAGCATTTAGATATATGTACAAACCAGAAATTTGGAAAAACAAAATAAACGAATCTGCCGTTTATTTTAAACTGTGTTGTGTTCGCTGAATAATACGTTGAGCTATTGGATGACTATATAAGCGTTAAATTATTGAATTTTTAACTTATTATGTCTAGGTTTAGTTTTAAATACTTGATTGAGTTTATACCTACTGTTTATAGGTTCTTTAAATTTCCAAATCAAACCATGATAAAATATTTGCAAGATGGTCGTTGACCTACCTTAAATAGGGGAAAAATATATTTTTATTACGTTTATGGTCTCAATACTAAGTGCTAACGATTCTTAACAATTCCATTATTTAGTGTTTTGAATGAATAATTTAAGCATAACAAAAAGTTGAGTGCACTTAAAAATGAATTTGTAGTAATAACTATAATTTGTTGAGGACTAAAGACGTATTTAGAATCGTTAAGGATGACTTTTTTTTTTTTTTTTTAATGAACATTTTTGCATTTATAGTTATTTACAGTAAATACTGTAATAGCAGAAAAACCTCGTGTCTTGAATGTAGTAATCATAATATACCTTAATAATAAATATTGACATACATGAGTGTAGAGAGAGCATACAAATAATTCAACAGCAAATAAAATGTCACAGGAGCGTGTAAACTCTGAATACGACAAAATATCTATTACTATGATATTCCATTATCATCATACGTATTATTTTTCTGGCGATAGTCTCATGATAGTTCAGAAAGGACTGTAATAGAGATACATAAATTACATATAAATATATATTTATAACGAACAATACCATTCACATAAAATATGATGCACGAAGAGAATTTTGAGCACTTATTTAATGAAGTTTATAATATGACGTATACAATAGGTATAAGTACCTACATAAAACTAGTAAAATTTAGTACGGACCTATTGGGATGACTTTGTAAAATGGCGGAGGTCCGAGGTCTGATATTGCTGCAAAGGGTTTCAGGTGCATATTCTGCTCACATCTCGGTTGATGTGATAACATCAAGCTTAAAGCGTACCTAGAACGACTCACTTTTCTAGTGTTTCACGGATTCTCATGGACGATAGATTTGCCATGCCTGATGATCTATCAGTATGGCCTGTACAAAGATAATAACCAATACAACTTATGATACAATAAATATCGTACATTATTTTATCGTATGATAATATTAACAATCTTTCGGTAGTAAAAAAACATTAATTTTTTCTGGTCACACTGATTGACCGGACATTTTAGCGATTTTCGAGTTTTTTTAAAGTTCACAATAAGTAGATAAGCCTTCTGGTTATTCTGTGACGTGTGCTATTAGCTATAAATTAGCAATTCGCGGTGACGTCGTGAAATGTTTACTTTTTTAGGACCGGCACGATGAACCACTAAAAAGCTCTACGAGTGGATCCAAAATGTCATGTATCTACTGATTCTACTGAGTGTGTAAATATGTAATGTGTATATATATATATATATATATATGTATGTAATGTAAACATTTAGTTTAATTTTATCTTGACCGAGACGTGAGATTACGAGTGTCGGGTTGAAAAGACGATTCTTCTGCTACACAAATCCGCATAAATATCAACTTTTTCAGACTACTTATTTAAGGTAAGTAGGCACCTAACCTAAATGCATGGCTAAATTAATATTAATAATATTATGCTGCGTGTAAAAGATAGTTTGTGATTATATGAATTTCTCGTTATCAAATGACAGCTGTGCACGTAAGCACTTTGACATAAAAATAATATTGTTCACATCGATAGCCAATACGCAAGGTAATCCTAACATTCCTAACAATACAGTATGGAAATATGACATTGATCTTGTTGCAGTTATCAATGCAATAGTATTATTATATTATTGTGATGGATTAGAAAATATTTGCTTTCCCGTCTTCGCAATTGCGATGATTAAATGTAGGTAATCTATCTTATAAAATCATGTGTTGTACATAAATAGTGTGGACACTTGAATTATTGATTGTGATAATTTAATATGACTGCTGTCGGAATGTTGTTATCGATTATCGGTATGGTCGCAGCTTAGTGTGCATTACTGCTCGATGGATTCACAATGATAATATTATGTAATCGTGCCACCGTGTTGTTTTTTATTATTATATTATTACGTTCAATGTGTATTATGCTTGTAATTAGCATAATATGAAATGTTATACGCATGCGTTGTTCACATTTTATGCACATGGTAAATTAATATTACTCGACGATTCTGATGATTCGGTCGAAATCAGCCTCCTTTATTGTTTTATTGTATAGGTATAATATACACAGTGGTATGCGCACTTACAATTATTTGTATTCACTTTTTGTGTTGTGTTTGACTTAAATCTACGGGGAAGGAAGAAGCAACATAGGTAAACTTTTGTTTTATTTATTTATTTAAGAAGATTACGAGTATCATTGAACAAATTTATATAGGGGTTAATGAGTTCAAAAAGTACGATAAAATGTTATGTTATATTATTTTAAGTCTTAAAATTATAGAGAAAGTAGGTATGTTATCCACAGATCGTAGAATTAATATCAAACATAGTTACTATATTGTTATTATACTAAACTTATAAAACTGAAATTAAAACTTTAGCTAAATTATTAAATTATTAAATACTTTGTATAAACGTGTTAACATTTATTATTATTTTAAATACCTATATTTTGTTCTTTCAGTAGCCAAGTTGAACATTTTTTTTTTAAATTTATGAAAACTAAAATTTTTAACGTCAAATAATTGAGTCTAAGTTTAAGAAAACTGATTAAATAGTATTCTATGCATAAAAGTTCTAAGGGGAGTAATGAATGTATTGGTCTTACAATAATATGTAAAAATGCATTAGATATTCTATTTTAAGGGTAGTTTCTGGTAGAGAATAAGGTATAGTTTGAAAAGGTGAAAGGTAAGAAACTGAAAGTTTTTAATTTTACAGTATATTTCTTAAGTAAGTGGTGAAAATTATCTGAAGAATTAGAAAACGAGATACACGGATTTTTAATAGTTTCGTATTTATTAAAACAATTAATATTAATTACTGTTACGGTTAAATGCCGGTTAAGTGTGTGGCCAAATGAAACGAACGATTTTCTATAATATCGAAGTTTGTGAAAGTTATTTCAACCGTTTTGGATTTGTAACTGTTAGTACTTGGTATCATTAGTGGATATCACAAAGTTTTAGGATTTAACGAATAATTATTTTAACAATTTATTTTTCATTTTATTGTAATCCACTCATCACATTAAAGAGTATTTAAATAATAAATTGTTGTTGCAATTTTTGCCAACTGTAAAATAGACAGCAGCGTTAATATCCTATAATTCCTAACACATCTCGCTATATAAAATGTTTAAACGTTATTAGTACCTGATGTATTATTTAAAATTAGAGCAATTCTTTTATCCCTGTTTATCAGTCTATAATGTATTGTGTGTATATTATATAATAATGGCTTCACTACGACTCTAATGTTTTTATTTAAATTACAGAAAATTGTCTTTGTGGATGTCTGTGTGCATCAAGAATTAGAATAAGCTCCATATTAATTATAATGTGTTGGGTGGATGACTAAATATATATGTACCCTAGAACGGTTTAAGAAAATATTTAAGCGTATGCATTAATGACACGAAGCGAGCCATTACATATAGTAACTAACATATTTTATTGTGGAGAATATTTATAGTTATAAATTAATATTTATTTTAATTTTATGCACGCTCGTAACGAAAATACATTTTAAAGCCTGACGAACAATTCCATCCATATGTTATAGCAGTATATACGATATTTATTTGAAAACATTGCAGTTAAAAAAATATTTTATAAATAATACAGTGGAATTTCAATTAAACAATTCGGTTGGAGATAATAAAAATAAATAGAGTTATAGAAAATATTTTATTTTAAAACAAGACTGTGTATATTAAAATGTTCAAAATGGTATTCTATATCTATAGTAATAATTAGTAATACCTATAAGTGTAGTAGTGCCGTGGTGGTAGTAGTTTAAAGCTCATTATATACGCATGCGTTAAATATCTATTATCGTTATGGATAACCATTCAATATAGGTATACGTATTACATATTTCGAAAATTTTTGGTGATATATTTCGAATAATTCGTGTTATAAGTCATAAATCAACTCAAATAATAACTTCGATTTATAGATGTTCAAGTTATAGAGATGCCATTGTATTAATAATTATTTGTACAAGTAAAAGTTGTGCACAAGATTTGATTTACGTAGTCGAAGGAAGTGCAAGGACAATAATTATTATACTTATATTAGAGACAAATGTTTTTCAGCATCAGTTTTATAGCATCGTGTAAGAAACTTTAATAGTTGAATGTTATTTATCTATAATAAATTATACGAAATTTAAAATATAATAATAATATAACAATAATATTGATAAATTGTAGTTAAAAAATAAAACTTCCATAATGAGAATTTTGGTTACCCGATATAATTTTAAATAATGAAAAAAAAAAAAAACGCGAATGAATTGGAGCTGAATAACTGTACTTATTAGCAATCTATCTCATTTTACTATGTAATAAAAATATACGAGTACATATTATATCTGTGTAGTTTAAAAAATTTCTCTCTATATACCGTTTGGTTAATATATTTTGCTAATTCATGTGCTACTTACCATGTATATTATGTATTGTATACATTACAAAGAAAAAAATGAAGATTGATTGACACGATATTCTGTATCAAATGTTCCAATTCTAATGCTGTTTTTTGTTACCAGTAAAAATCTGTTTAGATGAAAAAAAAGAAAAATCCACTATAAAAATTTCGTTTTATATTACCCAAAGTGTGGGCCGTGGGGGTAGAAAAAAAATCTTTTTTTTTTATAACGGCCGCACAGTCAAGTCGGTTAACAACCATTTCGATTGATAAATAAAAAATAAAAAAAACATACTCTCGAAAATGTATTTTCCTTGTCGGGTGTGCAATTTTATTACGTGTCAAAGACTAAGTCACAAGTTTCAATGCGTGTGCAGTACAAAAAAAGTACGTGTAACGACATTGGTTGATATTTCTTTTGATGACTAGGAATAGCGATCATTAAAATTACGTCTCCAATTTCAGAGTTTTATACAGGTATACAGGGCTGGGCAAGATACCTCAAAAAAAGTATCTAAATACAAGATACAAGATACATTTATAACTAGTATCTAAATACAAGATACAAGATACTATAATATTTTTAAAGATACTAGATACAAGATACATGTATCTGAGATACGTATAAGATACAAGATACTTAATATATTTATTTATTTTTATTAATTTCTTAATTTACCTTGGATACAATTTTATCATACATAATTTATATTATATTATAGCTTATAAATGTATAATGATACATGTATTTCTCATTAACAATATAATTTCAAATAACATTATATACGCTTAATAAACTAATAATACTAATACTAATAATAAACAAATGAAATAATAGGTAAAAAGATTTACAGTCTATAAAAAAATTATGTACTCAATAAGAAAACGTTATGAAAAAAAAAAAATTTATAAATTAGCTATGTTTACTTATTATTTATTAAATGTTAAAATGTAGGTGATTTATATAAATATTTAATTATGTTATTTATATCCCATGTTTTGAAATAAATTCCTGGTTACCCTTTAAAGAGACTAATTTTTTGAAAGTTTCATCTGACATACTAGATCTACACGGAGAATGAATAAACCCAGCAAAAGAAAATAGTCGTTCAACAGCTGCTGAAGAGGTTAGGCTTGTATTATATTTTATGAATAATTTTTTTATTTTAGGATAATTATCTAAGCAACTAAGTGATTTATTTTTATCATTTAAAAAACTTATAAATTCAAGTTCGTTACTTGACTGTTGTCTGAACTGGTATGAAACATATTTCTTGAATGTATCTAGTATCTTAATCATAAAAAGATACTAGATACAAGTAAATAAAGTATTTAAATACCCGATACAAGATACATCCAAATTATGTATCTCGATACAAGATACAAGATACAATTGTATCTAAGATACGTATCTTAAATACTAGTATCTAAGATACTGCCCTGCCCTGCAGGTATACAAGTATATTTTAGTTTTTCTTGCATTCAATCAGAACACAGAATATTGTTCATTAAGGACATACAAAAATTATTACATTATATTTTTTATCAAATATTTTATCGTTGTTTTAATGTTGGGTTTAGAATTATGCAACCTGTTACAACATAATATAATACGCTCTATATACCTACATATTATACGTTATACTTATACGTATATAAGCTTATAAAAGTATCGCCGCTTATCGACGCTCACAGACAATGGAATTTTAAATATCGGTAGAAAGATTAATAGTTAAGTTAGAAATAATAAAATTGTAGCTAAAATAAAAAAAAAAATAATGGAGCTGCTATTTTTCAGTCTATGCGATATAAGTGCAGGTAATAAACGTCTCTTTTACGCGATAAACGTAAATAATATCGTATTTAATAATAAACGTCTCATTTATTTTAATCATTCATTTTTCGTTTTAAATAGATTTGAGAATATTAACTAAGTTCTTGGTTTTTCT